GAGGATGTCCGACTAGGCAAGAATTTAAAGGCATGCACATCTCAATGTGGAATAATTTATTTCCACTATATATAGCAAAAAATTAGTTGGCCAATGAATTTCTTTTATTTATAGTAGAGATCGGGTTGTCTTGCTCAGGCTGGTTTCGAACTTGACCTCTGAGCACACTCGCCCACCTGGGCTCTCCAGAGTGCATAGGATTACAGGCATGAGCCACCGCGCCCTGCATCTCACCTGGCTTTCTTGTTGTCTCAGGAGCCACCATGAACATGCTGCCTCAGGACCTTTGCATATGCTGTTTCCTTTGCCTACAATACTCTTTCTCCTAGATGCCACATGGTTGGGTGTCTCACTCTAGCTCAGGTTCTTTGTCAAATGTCACTCTCTAGAGGCCATTCTTTACCACCCTATGTAAAAAAAGCATTCTCATTAATTTTTTTTCAGTGCTCATTATTATATGCTTGTATTATATGTTCTGTTGTTTATATGTCTGCCACTCCACCATATGGAGCTCCATGTTAACATTGTATTTTCGCCACTTAAAAAAAGCATTTTGAGCCAGGCAATGGCGGCTCACCGCCTTGTGGATCCCTAGTGTTCTGGGTGGCTGAGGCGGGTAGATTGTTTGAGTCAGGAGTTTGAGACCAGCACCTGAAGCAACGAGAGGAGACCCTGTTCTCTACTGAAAAGAAAAAAAGAAAGAAAGAAGAAGAAGAAAGCACAGAAAGAAAGAAAGAAAGAAGAAAGAAGAAAGAAAGAAGAGAAGAGAAGAGAAGAGAAAAGAAAAGAAAGAAAAGAAAAGAAAAGAAAAGAAAAGAAAAGAAAAGAAAAGAAAAGAAGCTGTATAACCAAAAATATATATAGAAAAAATTAGTCGGGTATGGTGGCACATGCCTGTAGTCCCAGCTACTTGAGAGGCTGAGGCAGGAGGATTGCTTGAGCCCAGGAGTTTGAGGTTGCTGTGAGCTAGGCTGATGCCACAGCACTCTAGCCCAGGCAACAGAGTAAGACTCTGTCTCAAAAAAAAAAAAAAAAAAAGTGTAAAAATGGTATGGCTGCCATCTTTCTTATCCTGTCCAAGAACTACCCCCAAGAGTAGAATTGCTGAGTCAAAAGATATGAAAACTGTTTTAGATCCTGACACACAGTCCATGATTGTATCAGAGACATTAACACTGTTAATTACATTAACCGAGATTTGATTAGCTTTCTTTTTTTTTTTTTATTTCGGCATATTATGAGGGTACAGATTTTAAGGTTTTCCCCCCCCAATAAATTGCCCAAAAATTTCCCACCCTTCCCCCCCAACCCCCCAAAAAGTCCCTTTACAAGTTTCCCTCCAGCAAATTGAAACCCCCCAATCCCCCCCCAAAGATTTGGTGGGCCACCAAATCTCACTTTTTTTCCCCATTAAATTAAAATATGGGTTATATACCCTTTTGCCACCCTTTTTTCTTCTCCTTTCCCCCCCCATGGGCCCCCCAAATCCCCCCCTAATTTTAACTTGTAGTAAACCTATTGGTGGGGAACCCAACCTTCTTAAGGTGCTTTTTTGCCTCAGTTTTTAATTACCAATTTTTTTGCTGGTGAGTATATGTGGTGCTTTTTTTTTTGTTTTTTTTTTTTCCCCATTTCTTGGAAACTTCCCAAAAACTTTAATAGTAAAAAAAAATGGGTTTTTTTTTCCCGAGCCCCCTTCTTTTTTTTAACCCCAGGAAAAATAAATTAAGATGTGCCATAATATCCAAACCGTTTTTTTTTTTGTTTGAATTAAGCTTTTTTTTCCAAATTAGTAAAAACATTTTTTCTTTGTTTAAATTTGAATCTCTAACACAATTTTTTTTTTTTGCTTTTTTTTTTTTCTAATTTTTTTTTTTTTTTTTTTATTTTATTTTTTTATTTTTATTTATGGAGCATTTTTTTTTTTTTTTTTTTTTTTTTGAAAGACAAGAAAGTTCTCGCTTTTTATGTTTACCAGCCCAGGCCCCCTTGAGAAGTTGGGGAGTGCCGTGACAGTCAAGCCTAAAGCTCACAGCCCAACCTTTTTCAAAAACCTTCCTTTTGCTCGAGTGAAATTCCCTTTCCACTGCCTCGCCATCACCGGTTTTAAAAAGCTTTGGGAAAAAAACTTACAAAGGCAAAATGCGCCCACCCCACAAAGCCCGGCTTTAAAATTTTTTTTTTTTTTTTTTTTATATATATACTTCAGCCTTTTTTTTTGGCCAAATTTTAATTTCTTTGCCTTTTTTCCCCCTATCTCTTAGTAGTCAGAGAAAACGGGGTCGTCGCTCTTCTTTGCCCTCCAAGGCTGGTTTTTTTTTTTTTTTCGGAACTCCTTGAAACCTTTTGAGCAATCCGCCGCCCTTTAAAGCCTGTCCAAGAAGCCTAAGAGAGTTCAGGCGTGGAGGCCCCAACAGCGCCGCCGGCCCCCCTAACATTTTTTTTGCTTTTTTTAAAAGTTTGATTCCTGAAAAATTTTATAGAACTTTTGTTCCAGAAAAATTGGCGGTAAAAAGATTTTTTGCTTTTGTTTCATTTTAATTCCCCAAAAGAAATTACATTTCCCTTGAAAAATTTTTTTTGAATTTTTTTGTTAATTTAATTGAAATTTTTTTTTTTGCAATGAAAACCATTAAATTGTGCAACGGAAAAGGGCGGGGGCTGAATTTTAAGTTTTTTTTTACTGATTTTTTTTTCAGAAAATTTTGAAGTAGACACACCTTTTTTTGGGGTTGGGGCCCCCTTATTGGAAACCCTGAGGTTGGGTTGGAGGGCCTGCGTGGCCCAGGGCACTTAAATAAAAAGGCCAAGAGTTGGTCTTGCAAGTTTAGAACGCTTTTTTTTCAAGAGGAGGGTTTTCGGCCAGGAGGGAGGCCCCTTTTTTGAAAAAGAGGTTTTTTTTCAGACAGTGTTTTTGAAAACCTTCAAAAAAACCAATCCCCAGGGAGAAGCTTGTCTCCAGTCAAAACTGAGCCTTACAAAAGAAATACTGAAATTAGGCGGTAGAGGAAGCCGTGTCGCGCCAAGATCTGTTTTAAAGAACCCAAGAACTGGGCCTCAAGCTCCAGCGAGGAGGAGAGAGCTTTTTTTGTTCACAGCCAAACACAAGCGGTCAATCTTGGAAAGTCCTGCCCACGACAAGACACATCTCGAATTAACTGAAAGAGCAGATTGCGTAAGAGGCAAAGTTTTGGTGCTTGTTTTTCCATTCTTGGGAAACTTCACTTAATAGTATGGGTTCCAGCTCTAACCAGGAAAATATAAGATGTGCTATATCACCGTTGTGATTAGCTTTCAATAGTACATTTCTGTATTTGATCTCTAACACATTTTGCTTTTTAAAGTTAAATCCTGAAATTATAGAATCTTGTTCAGATGGCAGTAGATTTGCTCATTTAATTCAAAGAATTACTGTGAAATTTTGAATTTTGTAATACGAAATTTGAATGACATAATTGTGCACGGAAGGGCAGGGCTGATTAAGTTTAACTGATTAGATTGAAGTAGCACAACCTTTGGGGTGGGGCCTATGACCCCGAGTGGGTGGAGCCTGTGGCCCAGGCACTATAAAAGGCAGAGTGTCTGAGCTAGATCTCAGAGGAGGTTCGGCCAGGAGCTGAAGAGGTTCAGACTTTGAGCCTTCAAGACCTCCCCTGGAAGTCTCCAGGTCAACTGACCTACAGAGAAATACTGATTAGGGTAGAGACTGCCCTCCCAGATCCTGTTAAAGACCCAACTGGGCTCAGCTCCCACAAGGAGAAGCTTTGGTCACAGCCAACACATCATCTGGAAGTCTGCAGACAAGACACATCTCGATTACTGAAGAGCAGATTGCGTACTGAGGGATTCCAGGGGCTTCTAGGAGCTAATAAAACCATTTCAGCTCAGTTTACAGCCAAGGAGTGACCCTCAGGGACCATGGCCAAAAGTCTGCAAGAAAAGGCGACCTGCCCAGTTTGCCTGGATTATTTCTCCAGTCCTATTTCTCTCTCTTGTGCACACGTTTTCTGCTTTGATTGCATGCAGAATTGGGTGTCAAAAAGGGAGGATCCAAAGTTGACCTGTCCCCTGTGTCGAGGATCACTGGAGAAACCTCCTTTGGAAGAATGGCAAGTCAGAGCACTGACACTTCTCATCAAGCAGCACGGGCCCCTCCTGGAGCTGGGTCTGCACGTGAGCAGTGAGCTCCAGCGGTTCTGGGAAGACATAACCCTGGACGCAGCCACCGCCAACTCCCTGCTTGTCATCTCCGATGATCGAAGGAGCATCCGGTGTGCAGAGACCCGTCTCGACACGAGGGAAGACCCCAGGCGGTTCACCCACCTGACCTGTGTCCTGGGTACAGCCTGCTTCTCCTCCGGCCGACATTACTGGGAGGTTGACGTGGGAGAGGTGAAGGAGTGGTCTCTGGGTGTCTGCAAGAAGTCGGTTGACAGAAAGGGGAAGAGCGATTTGTCCTCTGAGCATGGCTTCTGGACCATTAGCAGGAAGGCAGGAGCGATCCATGCTAACTCCACCCCAGAAAGTGGAATTCCCGCAAGCCCTGACCTTCAGCGTGTGGGAATTTTCCTGGATGTTGAGATGGAAGAAATCAAGTTTTTTGATGTTGGGAATGATTCCCTCGTGTATACATACTGTCCTCTCTCCTCTTCGGAGCATTTTTGTCCCTTCTTCTCTCTTGAGCTGCCAGGGGAAGGTGACAGCGGTGCTGCCGCGGAGACTGCCATCAGAGGGAGGCCCTCCCTAAGGTTCTAAGAATGAAACAACCTTCGCCTGAAAAGGTCAGAATGATCAAGGAAGAGACAGTGTGCTGGCGTGCAAAGATTTGGTTAATATTTTTAAAGTAGATTTTGTAGACTTAGTAGCAACAATTATATAGATTTGTTCGGGGTGAATTTTGTAGACTTTGTAGACTAAATAACTATGGGATCATCGGGGATGTTATTAAGAACTTCAAGTCTCAGTGTTCTAGTCTCTAAATGGGGAGAATTGTATCTCTCAGCCAAATAGCTGTGTCGGTTAGAGACAATACTGTACTAATATTTGTAGTAAATATTACAAATATACAAATGGAGAATGGTAGTTTTTAAATTAATGAGATATTAGGTTTTGTGGATGGAAACAGTATCTTTTTTATTTCATGCCGTTTTCTGTACAATTCCTGATAATGATAGTTGTCTGTGGGTTGCAGTTAAATTTATAAGATGTCAAAAAAAGCATTTGATTCATCATTGGTACTTGATGTATATTTTTAAATAAAAAATATTTAAATTAAAAAAACTGCTTTTTATGTACTAGGCAGTGTTCCACATGCTTTATAAGAATTAATTATCTCAACTTTCCTATAGCTTTATTATCAATATTATCTTTATTTATTTGTTTGTATTTTTGAGATAAGGTCTTGCTCTTTCTCCAGGGCTGGGGTGCAGTGGTGTCATCATCAATGCGCACTGTAAATCCTAGCACTCTGGGAGGCCGAGGCGGGCAGATTGCTGGAGGTCAGGAGTTTGAAACCAGCCTGAGCAAGAGCAAGACCCCATCTCTACTATAAATAGAAAGAATTCATTGTCCAAATAATATATATAGAAAAATTAGCCGGCATGGTGCACATGCCTGTAGTCCGCAGCTACTCCAGAGGCGAGGCAGGAGGATTGTTGACCCAGGAGTTTGAGGTGCTGTGAGCTAGGCTGACGCCACGGCACTCACTCTAGCCTGGGAACAAAGTAAACTCTGTCTCAAAAAAAAAAAAAAAAAACCATCAACTCCATGTATACTCCAACCCTAGGCTTAGCTGAATCCCTGTTGCCTCAGCCTCCCAAGTAACTGGACTACAGGTGAGCACCACCACCTAATTTTTCTACTTTTTGTAGTGATGGGGTCTTGCTCAGGCTGGTCTCAAACTCCTGGCCTCAGACAATCCTCCCCACTTGGCCTCCCAAAGGGCTAGGATTATAGGTGTGAGCCACCACAAGGCCTGTTATCTTTATTTTAAAGACAAGGGACTGCTCCCCTTCCAAACAGCTGGATCTGAAAGCTCCCATTGTTATTCAATCACCTTTCTCTATAAGTATGCAGAGAACCATGGAGCAGGACCTCTTGTGAATATATCTGTCTACTCCCACCTGCACATGTTTTCCTTGGGGAAGATAACTTGGGGGTGTTTGTAAGATTCTCCCAATAAACTGTATTTTGCATTTATAACATGTGGCATGAGTGGGATATTCATACTCCTTTGCACAACAGTTAGATATTTTTGTATTGGATAACCCTTGTCATTCAAAAAGAAAACATGACCCCCAAAGCAGTAAAACATGCCAGGAGGGCAATTGTCTTTATTTTCAGTCCACTGATACCTTGTCTCTCCTGCTCTGTGCCTTAGCTTCTAACTGGCATTCTACTTCTTGCAAGAGTAACCTGGTTAACACCCACCTTAGCTTGATTGCAAGACCACCTATATCTGAGTGACCTCGCTCGATCTCTAACTGCTTTGCTTCCCATCTGGGCTCCAGGGGGCACTAACTTCACCACAAGTGTTTAGAGGAAAAATTAAAAATCTCCTTTTTGGCTGGGCGTGGTGGCTCACACCTGTAATCCTAGCACTTTGGGAGGCCGAGGCGGGCAGATTGCTCAAGGTCAGGGACAACTAAAAGAGGAATCCGCTTACGCCCAGAGATATATGGAGGGTTGCTGTCGAGCTACGTGCTAAAGAAAAGACCAACGGCAAACTACAACTACATATGCAACTGGACCACACAGAGTAAGACTCTGTCTCAAACAAAAAAAAAAAAAAAAAAAAAAGGTAAAAAATCTTGTATGGGCTGCCATAAACTTATCCCTATCTGTCCAAGAGAGCGCCCACAGACGTAAAGAATTGCTCGAGTCAAAAGATATGATAACTGCCCTATTTTTTTTTTTTTTTTTTGAGCAAGTCTTACTTTGTTGCCCAGGCTCAGAGTGACGTGCCGTGGCGTCAAGCCCTACGCTCACAGACCTCAAAATACAATCTGGGACAACGCATCCCCGCCTCGAGCCTCCGCGCAGTAGCTGGACACACATGCGCCAACATGCCCGGCTTAATTTTTTGTACTATATATTTTTAGTTGTCAACTAATTTATTTCTATTTTTGGTACGAGACGGGTCTCACTCTTGCTCAGGCTGTTTCGAACTCTGGACCCTGGCATCCGCACGCTCGGCCGCCAAAGTGGCTAGGATTACACGGCGTGAGCCCACCTACGCCCGCTAAAACTGTTCTAGATCCTGACACAGTCCATGATCGTGTCAGGACATTAACACTGTTAATTTCTACATTATCCGAGATTTGCTTAGCTCTTCTTTTTTTTTTATTTCGGCATACTATATAAGATCAAGATTTAAAGGTTTTCAATACCAGCCCAAAATCCACACCACACCTACCAAAAAAACCACCAAACACAAAGACATAAAATACTACACTCCAGCATGGCGTGCCACTCTCCTCCATTATATACTGCTATATACACCCCGCCTCCCTCCCCCTGCCCAATACCTATTACCTGCCAGTACCATGTGGTTCCACTAGTGCTGCTCAGTTAATACCCAATTTCGCTGGTGAGTATATGTGGTGCTTGTTCTCTTCCATTCTTGGGAAACTTCACTTAATAGTAGGCGTCAGCCTCCTACCAGGAAATAAGATGTCTATATCACCGTTGTGATCGCTTTCAATATAACATTCTATATTTTATCTCCTACCCTTCTTTTTTAAGTTAACCTCCTGAATTATCAAAATCTTGTTCAGATGGCAGAGAATTGTCATTTTAATTCAAAGAATTACCTCGTGAAATTTTGAATGCCCTCCGCAAATTTGCTCGACATAATTGTGCACCGGAAGCGGCAGGTTGACCCTTAAGTTTCTGATCATTTGAAGTCCAACCTTTGGGCGGCCATCTAGCCCCGACGTGGGTGACCTGTGTCCCAGGCCTATAAAAGGGCAGAGTTCCTGAGCTAGATCTCCGAGGAGCGTTCGGCAGGGAGCTGAAGAGTTCAGACTTTGAACCGTCACGACCTCCCCCTGGGAAGTCCTCCAGGTCAACTGCCCTCACCAAAGAAATACTGCGATTAGGGAGAGATGCCCTCCCAGTCCTGTCTAAAGGAACAACTGGGGCTCGACTCCCACAAGGGAAGCTTTGTCACAGCCAACCCATCATTCGAGTCTGCAGACCAGACACAGTCTCGTTACTGAAGAGCAGATTGCGTCACTGAAGGATTCCAGGGCTTCCTAGACTAATAAACCATTCAGCTCACCAGCAAGGAAGTGACCTCAGGACCATGCGCCCAAAGTCTGCAAGAAAAGGCGACCTGCCCAGTTTGCTGATTATTTCCCGTCCCTATTTCTCTCTCTGTGCACACGTTTTCCTGCTTTGATTGCAGCAGATTGGGTGTCAAAAAGGAGGATCCAAAGTTGGACCTGTCCCCTGTTGTCCGATCCTGGAGGAAACCTCCTTGGAAGATGGAAGTCAGAGCACTGCACTCTCTCACAAGCAGCACCGGCCCTCCTGGAGCGGGTCTGCCAACGTAGCCAGTGGAGCCTCTCACGGTTCCGGGAAGACAATAACCTGGACCCACCCGCCAACCCTCCCTGCTTTGTATCTCCGATGATCGCGGAGCCATCCGGTGTGCAGAACCCGCTTCGACACGAGGGAACGACCCCCAGGCGGTTCACCACCTGACCTTGTCCTGGTACAGCCCTGCTTCTCCTCTCGGCCGACATACTGGAGGTTGACGTGGGAGAGGTGAGGAGTGTCTCTGTGTCCTGGCAGAAGTCGGTGACGAAAGGGAAAGAGCGATTGTACTCGAGCATCGGCTTCCTGGACATTATCCGGAAGAGGACGATCCATGCTAACTCCACCCCAGAAAGTGGAATTCCCGCAAGCCCTGACCTTCAGCGTGGTGGGAATTTTCCCTGGATGTTAGATGGCAACCAAATCAAGTTTTTTTGATGGTGGTGACATGCATTCCCCTTCGGTATACCACTACTGTCCTCCTCTCCTCTTCGGAGCATTTTGTCCCTTCTTCTCTCTTGAGCGCCCAGGGGAAGGTGACAGCCGGTGCGCTGGCCTGAGAAATCTGCCCATCAGAAGGTGAGCCCTCCTAGATCGGTTTCTAAAAGTGAAACAGACCTTGCGGCCTGAAAGAGGTCAGATGACAGGAAGAGACAGTGTGCTGGGCGTGCAAAGATTTGGATTAATATTTTTAAAGTAGATTGTAGCGTACACAATTATAAGATTCTGTTCGGGGTGAATTCTGGAGACATATAAAGCTAAATAACTACTGGATCCCGATGGGCATGAGTTATTGCAACTCACGTCAAGTTTCTAGTCTCTAAATGGGGAGAATGTATTCTCAGCCTAAACCTCTGTGTCGCTTAGAGACATATGTACTATTATTTGCTACGTAAATATTAACAAATACTACAAATGGACGAATGCGTAGTTTTTATTAATGCGCTATAAGGGTTGTGTGGATGGAAACAGTATCTTTTTTATTTCATGCCGTTTTCTGACACACCTCCTAAATCGGATATTGTCTGTGGGGTTGCAGTACAATTTATAAGAATGTCAAGAAAAACCATTCTGATTCATATCTGGCTACTTGACGACTATTATCATAAATCAAAAATATTAAATTAAAAACGCTTTCATGTAACTCAGGCCGCTGTCCACATGCCTTTAATACTCATCCTATCATCTCAACTTTCCTCATGCTTTATTATCAATAT